ATTAAAATAATCTCTCGTTACTTTTTTCCTTTTTATATAAATTTAAAAGTTAATAACCTAAATTAATATTTTAATCATTAAGTAATGAAAACGAAAAGTGTGAAAATTAAAATAATCTCTCGTTACTTTTTTCCTCTTTTATTTGGTTGTGTCAAAGGGCATTTTTGAGATCTTACTCCAAAGCAGAAAATACAGAGAAAAATGAACCAGGGAAAACAAGATTAGATGAGAACACAAAGAAGGTTGAGAAACTTTTCCAAGAGAGACACGGAAAGGCAGGTGGGGGGAATGAGGCTTTGACGGGTCCGAGCTGTTCCCTTCTTCCCACACTGTTCTTTTTCATCACTCTTTTTTGGTAGTCTTCCACTAAGTCTTTCTTTTAATGCTTTTAAAAAAAAAATTTTTTTTTAATGCTTTTTTTTTTTTTATAAATTGTAAACTTTCTTTTTAATGTTATAGTATTGATCACTTTACTGTAATACCCTTGCACTATTGTATCATTTTGCATATATTCATTTCACTTCCATATAACCAGCACCTTCCGAGAAATATCCAGCTAGCTAAATCACTTTTATAAGTTTGCTCTTCTCCTTTGCCGGCTCACCTTTTCTTATTATCACGATGCAATTTGGCTTTCCATTGTGGGAGTAGTTCTGCTTCTGCTTCTAATCTGCTTGGCGCAACTAATTTGATTATCAATGTCTACTTTCTTCAATTTCTTCTATTGAATTTGCAGGTATCTTAAATCTTTGATCATGATTTTATGCGCTTATATTATCGTTAAACTACATATTAAATGAAAGATTTTTAAATTTTTTTAGATGTATAACCTTCTCTTCAATATCCTTTATTAAATTCTTTATTTTCAAATTATTTTTTAAGTAAATTATTAAATTTTTTGTATTCAGATTTATTTTTACTTAATCAATTCGAATCATATTATACTTTCAGGAAATACTCTTCAGATTATGTGATTGCTGAGAAATAGACTTGCAATTAAGCAAATCTACTACTACTAGTAATTTGCTTGGTTTTAATTTGGTGATCCTCGGTAATTTCTTCAATTTCGTCAGTTAAACCTAAAGGTATACTATCTAGTATTTAGATATTAAATCTTGTTTTTTTTTTTTTTTTATGAGAAAAAGAGAGAGCAAAGAATCAATAGATACAAATCATTAACATATCAACCTTAAGTTTTTTATTCTTTTAAGTTTTTGCTAAAGTATATATGATGAAAAAAATAGAACAATGATGTATCAATGGATACAAATTATTAGCATATCAATCTCTACTTAAATAATTCACTTTTTCATTGTCTCTAATGTTAAAGTGTAATTTGGTTATAAATAAGGTAGTTGAAATTTAGAAATAAATTAATGTTTTTTTCTTTGGTTAATTCAGTTAAACTGATATTTTTTACATAGTTTTATATTTTTTATAATTATATAGTTAATTAAAATAAATAAATAAAAATAACAATAAAATAAAATAATTATCTATCTACTTTTACCTCAATAGACAACTACTACCTGTTAACAAAACTTTTCTCTTGTATTTTTGGTTCAGAATTGAAGCTTTTTGTAAACTAAAACTACTACTGTTTTATTTCTATTAATAAAATATCGTTTTACTGATTGAGATAAAACAAACACAATTGGAAAAGCGAACCCTCGTTCCGATCCAGTGCTATTGGACCTGAGTTAAAACTGTTCATTTCCGTGAATTTCACGTTCGAATCTCAAAGAAACTTTTCTTCTCTCTTCCAATTAATCCGTAAATAATTACAAAATTTAAAAAAAAAAAAAAAAAAACACCATTAGAAAAGCAAAATGCTGCAACTTGATATTAAAAAATTGATTCTCAGGAATAACCGCGCATCTATACAGAATACTTTGTCTTCATCCATTGTATGCGCGACCAACTTTTCTTTCTTTCTTTGCTCCACAGAGGCTTCCAACACCAACCATTTCTTTTCTTCAAGTTATGGATCCGCAATGGGTTGACCTTCTCCTGAGTCCCATCATCAATACCACAATTTCCAAGTTGATTTCCACTGCTGCCGAGCAAATCAGCCTTGCTGTCTGTTGGAAGAAGGAGCTTGAAACGCTTCAGAACAAATTGCGCATGATCAAGGATGTGTTGCTGGACGCAGAGGAGAGACAGGTGCGAGACCGTGCTGTGAAGGGTTGGCTTGAGAAGCTCAGGGATGTCGTTTTTGAGGCTGATGACGTGCTGGATGAGGTTGCTTACGAAAGTGAGAAGTGCAAGGTGGAGAATCAAAACCAAAAGCTGAAAAATGTGCATAAATTCTTGACCTCCAATCCCCTGCTATTTCGTAGAGGGATTGCTGAGAAGATTAAGAAAATTATTGCATCGGTGGAAGCTATTAACAATGAAGCGAGAGAGTTTGGACTCCAAAATAGACTTGCTGGCACAGTGGTTTCTGAACATAGAAGAAACGCACAGACCCATTCCACTATTGGTGATTTATCAGAAGTTGTGGGGAGAGAGGATGATATCTCCAAAATAGTGCACCTCCTAACTGACTCATCGAATGAGTTACGCCTTTGTGTATTGTCTTTAGTGGGTATGCCGGGTCTCGGTAAAACCACATTAGCACAAGCTGTGCGTAATGATGAGCGAATCAAAAACTATTTTGGTAAAATAATGTGGGTTTGTGTATCAGATAATTTTGAAGTAGAGAGGATTTTAAGAGAAATGCTGGAGTCTCTCTCCGGGAATTCTTGTGCAGTAAAAAATGAAGATACTGTGATTCAGAAAATAAGAGAAGCCATGGGAGAGAACAACTTTCTTCTGGTACTGGATGATATGTGGGATGAAGAGAGTCATGGGAAATTTGAAGACTTGAGAAACTGTTTGCTAGGAGTATGTAAAATGTCAAGGAATAGAGTTATTGTGACAACTCGGAATGAAAAAGTTGCATTGAAAATGAGAACACTTCCTAAACACATGCATCATCTTGGGAAACTACAAATTGCTGATTGTTGGTCTATTATCAAGAAGAGAGTACTTGGAGATGCTTCTATTACTCTAGAACTGGAGAAAATTGGAAGGGATATTGCTCAATTATGTGGAGGTGTACCATTAGTTGCAAGGGTTATAGGAGGTATTTTGTGTACAGAAAGGTTGGACGAAGTCACGTGGTTGTCAATTAAAAGCAAGATTGAGGCATTGGGTCCACTTGAACATGATATAGAAATTAGAGGTGTGATAAAATTGAGTTTTGATCACTTACCAGAGTCAGCTTTAAAGCAATGCTTTGCATTCTGTTCTATTTTTCCAAAAGATTATGTTTTGTATAGGAAGATGTTGATTCAGCTTTGGATGGCTAAGGGATTTCTCCAATCTACTGAAGAAAGTCTTATGACAATGGAGGATGTTGGTGATAAATATATAAATGACTTGTTATCATATTCCCTCTTTCAGGAGCAGCAAAGAGATTCTGTTGGAACCCTTATTAGTTGCAAAATGCATGATTTGATTCATGATTTTGCACAATTAATTTCAAAACCGGAGACAATAATTTGGAAGACTCAAAGGAATATTTCTAATGTTCGGAATTTGAATCTCATTTATGGTGTGGGAACAATGCCAACAAATTTAAGAGATGTTGCTCCAAAGCTACACACTTTGTTTTTGAAAGATGGTTTTTCCAATGATATGAAGGTGGATCTTAAAAGTTTACAAGTTTTGTGTTTTGTTGATTCTGCTGGTACCGAAGAATTGCCACCATGTTTTGACAACCTAAAGAATCTGAGGTATTTAGACATTTCAGGAACTCAAATAACAAAATTGCCAAAGTTCATCCCCAAGCTATACCAATTGCAGACATTTAAATTCATGACTTGCAGATCTCTAGAAATGCCTCCTGAAGGAATTGAAAATTTAATCAACTTGAGGCATCTAAACTTCAGTGATGAAGAGCAGATGCCTGCAAACATTGGGAAACTAACATGTCTTCAAACATTGTCAAAGTTCTTTGTAGGCACAACAAAGGGACGCAAAATTGAAGAATTGGGCAACTTGAGATGGCTCAGAGGAAGTTTGCAGATCTATAAACTTGAGCATGTTAAGGACAGATCAGAAGCTATGGGAGCGAAGTTAAATGAGAAGACAATTTCTAAGTTGAGATTAAGATGGGGAAAAGAAAGCAATCAAGATGAAGATGTTCTGGAAGGTCTCCAACCACACTCAAATCTACAACTATTAGAAATTGATGGTTATGGAGGCAAAAACTTACCATCATGGATGTCGAAGAATGTTTTGAATTGTGATTTGTTTTTGCTCAAGAATTTGGCAGAACTGAGAATTATACAATGTAAAAAGTTAGAAAGTATTCCAGTAATGACAGGATTTTCATCTCTTCAGATGCTTTTTATTTCAAGCTGTATTGAATTGAGTACCATAGTCGATGGAGCATTTGCTAAATTGGCGTCCCTTAAAGGACTACACATACTCAATTGTCCTAAGTTGGAAAGGGCTTCATCCAATGGTTTATTATCCCCACAGTCACTCTTAATTCCCGATTGCAGAGAGTTGAATAGCCTTTCAACCTCCACGTGTCTAAAAGTTTTACTTTTGCGTGGCTGTAAAAATCTAAGGTCTATTCCAAGTCTACGTGGGCTTAGTTCTCTTGAAGGGGTAATATTTATAGATTGTGGATTAGAGCATCTGCCCAGCGGGCTATCATCTTGCGTTGCTCTTAAGGAGTTAATAATAGCCAGATGCCATAGCCTGATCTCTATTCCAGAAGAATTGAAGGAAATACATTCTTTGGTTGTTTTGTGGATTCATTGGTGTTCAAAATTGAGGAGCATCCCAGAAAATACCCTCAATTCCCTTACCAGCTTGAAGACATTGTATATTGGTGGTTTTTCGGAAGAGTTAGAGGAATTTCCTGGTCTCAGTTCCATCCACAGCCTCCAAGCCTCCCTTGAATACTTGAATTTGACTGGATGGGAAAAACTAACTGAGTTTCCACATCAAATTCAAAACCTAAACCTTACTGCTCTAAAAAGCGTGTCAATAACAGATTTCAAGGAAGTGGAGACATTACCGAAGTGGTTAGGAAACTTATCCTCTCTTAAATCACTATCTATTTGGGGATGCCTTGGATTAAAGTATCTACCAAGTGGGTTGTCGTTCGTCACTACTCTCGAGCGGCTTACCATATACAGATGTCCTAATCTGGTCTCTGCTAAATTAGAGGAGATCCTCGGCGGCCTTGCTTGCTTGAAGACATTATGGATTGGTCCTTTCTCAGAAGAGTTGGAGGAATTCCCATGTCTGAGTTCCATTCACAACCTTGGCACTTCCCTTGAAGAACTGCGTTTGTATGGTTGGGCAAAGCTAACTCAGTTGCCACATCAAATTCAACACCTCACAGCTCTAAGGCACTTGTCTATATGGGATTTCCATGGAGTAAAAGCTTTGCCAGAGTGGTTGGGAAACTTGTCATCTCTTCAAGATCTATGCATCAAGTACTGCGAGAATCTGGAACATCTCCCTTCTGCAGAATCCATTCGGCGTCTCTCCGAATTGAAATTCCTTGAGATTTCAGAATGCCTAGTGCTAGAGACAAGATGTCGCAAGGAAAGCAATTCAGAGTGGTACAAGATTTCTCACATTCCAACCCTCAGAATAAATGGAGAGGACATATAATCACAAGATTCAAGTTTCCGAAAGGTAAATGGTATGTCTCATCTCTGGAATCCCAGCTCCTATTTTATTTTTCTTGTAATTACACATTTTGAAGTTTATGAATTCCAACAACTAATTCTCTCCTCATTCTATCAATACTGTGAATTTATCAATTAATATGAACTTAATGTTATCACACGAAAATTATTTTAACTTCAGGTTTTTACATATTAATTAGAAGTTTCCTTTATCTTTCTACATATTTTTTTTACCTTATTCCATTTCTTTTACTTGATGTGTAGCTGAAGAATATATAATTGGTTGATTGGAAGGAAGATTTCTAAAATTCAGAAATGAACTCCAACAAGAAGAACCTATTAGCTTCTAGCTTCTGGTAATTAACTAATTTTGTGAATTATAGCTTCTAGCTTCTTAAGGTACTTTGGGCTTTCAGAGAATCACTGTACATTTGGACAATGTTCTCTTAAATGAGATGTGTCCCTTTCTGGTTTCCATGGCGTAAAAGCTTTGCCAGAGTGGTTGGGAAATTTGTCATTTCTTCAAAATCTAACGATTACACATTGCAAGCATCTGAAATATCTCCCTTCTGCAGAAGCCATTCGATGCCTCTCCAAATTGAATTTCCTTCAGATTTCGAAATGCCCAGAGTTAGAGGTATGATGTGGCAAGGAGACTAGTGGTCCTGAGTGGTACAAGATTTTTCACATTCCAACCATCTACATGAATAAACAGTTCATATAATCACAAGATTTAGGTTTTTGAGAGGCAAATGGTATGTCTCATCTCTGAAATCCCAGCTCCTATTTTTTCTCATAACTCCACACTGTAATTTATGAATTTCCAACACTAATTCTCTGCTCATTCTATCAGTACTGCCAATTTATCAATCAATATGAACATCATGTTATCACATGAAAATTATTTAACGTCATGTTTCTAAATATTAAGTAGAAGATTTCTTTATCTTTTAAATTTTATTCCATTTCTTTTACTCGATGTAGGTGGATAGGAAGGAGGATTTACAGAATTCAGAAATGAACTCCGGCAACAAGAACCTAGACTCTACCTTCAGGTAATTAATTTTGTGAATTATAGTTGGGTTCATCAGCAGGTCTTCAAGTCAGAAAGTGCACTTATTCAGGATATCCAGATTGATGTAAGAAGCAAAATTCTGGGTTTTGTTCAGCCGAAATCATTGCTATTGCCTACAACTATTGCACGAAATTGGGGGCTTGAAACAATAGCAGTGTGATGTTAAGTTTGTGCATAGTGGTTATTTTGTATATTCTGTTTTGGATTTTTTTTTTTTCAAGTAGTAGCATATTTGCTGCTTTCATTGTACACAATCAGTTTGGATAAATAAAAACTTTACATTTTATCCAAAAAAAAAAAAAGAAAATACAATCTGGGAAATAGGAAAATTTACACCTTTGAATTGTGTTTGGTTATTTTCTAAGTTGATCTTGCTTCAGAATTCAGACACTCTTTACTTATGTATGAAATGATTTTTGATGAATTCTAGTGATTGGAGAAATTGGCTTTTATTTTTTCCCCTCTAATGATTTAGTACAACGTACAAACAGAATTCAGAATCCCCAGTCCTGTGTTTGGTTGCAGAATCTAAATCAAAGGCTTTTCT